CACCCCCCCCCAACCAAAAAAAAAAACCAAAAAAAAATATTTTGGACATTTAATTGTTTTCTCTTGAGATACAATGATATTAAACTGGAAGACATTTTAATGGGTAAATCTGAATCAAATGTACGTATATCTCAGCAATTTCCAAAAGGATACAGAAGATAAACCATATAGGATGCTTTAATTTAAACCCAAGTATCCATTCTGTTAAAAATGTAATCATGATATGACTTGACTATTCAAATATACCAAACTATATATATAAAAACAAAACAGAAGTCTACAAGAGAATGAAACCAAACCTAAGCCTCTTGCTGCCTTCTTTTCCTCAACATGATCACCCAGATCCTGTGCAAGCTCAATTGCTACCTTAAACTCTGTAAAAGCTTTTTCTGGATCTTGGTTCCTCAAGTAATTCTTCCCAGTTCTCAGATTTGTAAGTAGCTGTTGTTTCCTGGGGTCGACAATGACTTCTTCTTCTGTCACTCTCCCAACTGGTGCATAGCTCAAATTTGGAGCATAACCTTCTATCTTTGCTTGTCTTCTTAATGCTGCATTGATTTGTCGCAGTTGATCATTCAACCGCTTCAGTTCTCCTTTCCTTTGCCGTGCTAGCAATCCTTCAAGTCGTAACATACCAAATTAAATTGCTTTAAAGGAAAAAGGAAGTACATAGAAGAATAACACGGTTTTGTATACCACTGGATAAGCGTATAAGTTCCTTTTGTCAAATAATTTTGGAAGGAAATTTATGAAGTCAGTCACTCAGATGTAAACAATAAAGTCAAATTGATATCACAAAAAGAAGCCACAATGTGATGGTGAATGTGAAAGAAAAAAATTAGCATTTTCAAGTGAAATATAGTGATGGATTATGGATATGACGAAGTCAAACTACACAGCTAATCAGCGCTTTATATCTCAATAGTTGAATCAAACAAGAATCTTGAAAGAAGAGAAGGACAATGTAATGTCATATAAATCACCTCTAAGGAAATAAAGTTTGCTTACCCCCAACAGTAGCCCCAACAAGGGCTACTCCAAGAAGCAAAGGCATGTTGAAGAGAGAGTTATCAGCCTCGCATACTTCTGCTAGAGCATCGAGAGGCTGAATGATCATCAAAGTGTTTGCAAAAACAAATGCCTTTGTGAAGCTGAATTCTGCTGTTCTCTGCAGAAATGAATGATAAATAATAGACTTCTGTAACAGATTCAATCATTTACAAATGGAAGCAAAGGAACAAAAAGTAATAACTAAGACCACTTATGGATTTTCAAGAAACTCACCATCATACCTGATGCTCTGATATGTGACTGAACAATAGCTTCCAATTGGCTAGAGCCTCGTCGAACTTGACCATGTCCAAAAGCCTTCCCTTAGATAACTTGAGCTCATTGCTTCGTGAACTCGAAAACATCAATGTCTTTTTCTTTCTCGATGGAAGAATCATTACATACTCTGGTTTCAAAGGATAGAAGTAGCAAGCGGGATATGATCAGAAAAAATAGTATTCTACAGTTAAATAAGTTCTGATATGAGAAAAAGAGGAAGTTTACGCAACAATGAGCTTGATGTATCAAATAAAATCGACAGTTCTGAGGTGAAAAAGACATTGACCATAACTAGTCGTGATATCTTCGAACTGCATCTAAGTTCATTTCTCTTCTTAAGTTACTATGGAAGGGTAAAGTTTTGAGAAAACTTCAAACGTATCTTAGATCTTGATCTGGATTTTCCCAATAAGAACAAAACTAAAAGTTACTTTTTTGTATACAAAATAAAAAATAGAGGGTTTTTCAATATAAATTAGATGCACAGATTGAGGATTTTTACAAGTCACAATAATAAGAAAGTTCAAAATCTAGCAGTATACCATAACTCTCCAACGCACTAAAAAAAGATCAGAAATTTGAAACAATAATTTTGTCATACTAGACCTCAATCTTCACATAAACCCACTTCAATCTAGAATTTAGAAGATTACCATAGATATCTAAAGATGAAATCACTAATAAAGTCCAATTAAAAAAAAAAACTAACAAGAATTCTAATTGCATTGCTCTCATTCCTACCTCGAGGGTAAAATTTCCCAAAAAAGGTGACAAATTTGAGAGTAAACGGTGGAGTCACTGGTAACTATCCGGTGGCAAACGAAGAAGAAAGGTGCTCACCGTAGGTGCGATTACCGCCGGAGATTCCTTGAGGCGGCGGCGGCGGAGGCAGGCGGAAGCAGCGGAGCGGAACCGCCATCGCTGAGGATAGGATTTCTGGATTGTGGATTTTTCAGAGGATCGCTTTATATCTTCTGTGTTCTAAACTGGGTTCGAAACTAGACAGAAATTACGAAATTACCCGGAATAGTTCAGAGCAAAGCGTCACGACTCACGAGTACATCACTAGAGGATTTTAAATAAAATCTCAAGGTTAAGAAGATTTTCTGATAATCCCTAAATTTAAATGGGGTTTTCTGATAATCGTTCAAAGTTTAGGGTAGTTTTCTGATATTTAGTCTTACCAGAGGAGAGATAAGCTTTTTTTTCAGAACATTTTAAATTTTGAAAATTATTTTTGTTATAGAATTATGGTAGGTTAAAAAATATTCGATAGGTTTAACAACAGATTTAAGAAGAATAATAGGAGCTGAAATATTTTTAAAATAGCATGTAAGTGAAGCTATTTGTAAGTGAGAATATCTACAGGGATATTTAAGTGTAATTTACGCTAATAGTGAGTCACACGGGGTATAATACTTAGATAATTAGGGTAATTTCTGTCACTACAAAAGAGTTTAAGGATCGCCGTTAAATCACGTGACCGAAATCACCAATCCTGCACTTTTCTCAAAACCCCTAAACCCTAGATTTCTTCAATCTCTCAGTCCCTCTCCTCACTCCCCGATAAATTCCAATGGCTTCCTCTCTTCGAATTGCGAGCTCAACCCATTTAATCTCTCCCTACTCGCCCCGGAACCTCTTCTCTCAGTTCAATCGGCCCCCAAATTGTCGAAGAAAAGGGCGAACTTTATCATCAGTTCGCTGCTCGGGCTCGTCTTTTGTTACAATGGACTCAGCGAGGATCAAGGTGGTCGGAGTTGGAGGAGGCGGGAACAATGCCGTCAACAGAATGATCGGAAGCGGGCTGCAGGTTCGTTCCTGATTCCAAAATTATGCTTTTTTACTGCCTCCGTTTTCTGTAAAAATTTGTGGAGATTTTGAGTTGATGATGCCCTGAGTTGAAAGTTTCTCGAGGAAAGCTCGCTCATTGGTATATTTTAATTCAATGTAATAGAATTTGGGGGCAAATTATCAAATTTGTAGAATTGGGGGTATAAATTTTTTTTAATGAGGCAAGAATTGGGGGTAAATTTGGAATCAGGCAGCATTTTAAATTGAAATTTGGCAATATGAGATCAAGAAAGAGAGAAGAGAAAAAAAAAAGAACTTGCTCTTTCGATTGCAAGCCAAGGAGGTTATGTTAAACTTGTACAATTTCAGGGTGTTGATTTCTACGCAATCAATACGGATGCTCAGGCTCTATTGAATTCAGAAGCGGAAAATCCATTACAAATTGGGGAGCTTTTGACCCGTGGGCTAGGTCAGTCTTTTTTACCTTGTGTTCAGTTTCATATTGATCAGAAGTGGTTTAATTTTCGCTCAAGGATTAACTGAGGACCCTACTTTTTTTTTCATTTTAACTGCCTGTTCTGGAAACCAACGCTTTTGAACTTCTTAAACATTTAATAAACATATATCCATAATTCATAATCTGAAAGGATTCGGCTACTAGATGCACTGTGTACATCTGCTTTGACAGCCATAATCACACTCCTTTTTAGCACATTGCAAATCCAAACTCATATTGGCTCATAATACTCCGTCATCCTACTAACCTATTGCTAAACAGAAGATGATGACACACTGAATCATTAAGACCTCTTTCTTCACCATTTAGTCATACTAATACTATGCTTCTCTCCCACTGGATTGTATTTTCTAACAGAGGTTAAAAGTTGATAGGATTGATTTTGTTTATGATAGTCCAATTCTTTGATTGTATTTTCTACTATAATTCAGGTACGGGAGGAAATCCTCTTCTAGGGGAGCAAGCTGCTGAGGAATCTAGAGAAGCTATATCCAACACCCTGAAGGATTCAGATCTTGTCTTTATTACTGCTGGTATGGGTGGAGGCACTGGCTCTGGTGCTGCACCAGTTGTTGCTCAAATATCTAAGGAAGCCGGTTATTTAACTGTCGGTGTTGTTACGTATCCCTTCAGCTTTGAAGGTCGCAAACGATCTTTACAGGCAGGTTTCCCTTTGTTCTTTCATTATCTTTATTAGCTCTTTGCTCGAAATATAAGGTAGAGGAGAAAGCACTGTTGCCTGATTCGAGCAATGGGGATTCTTCCCCCCTTAATGTCTTAGTTTTATGAAACAATTTATGTTAATATAGTTTACACTTGGGATTTCATGTGATCATAGTCTTAGAGAAGGGGGAGCTCGAACTCCTCCAAGTAACAACCAGTTCATAACAGTTGTAATTCCATTTGATATGATATTGCATAAAAATCTCATATGGTATGTGTACGAGCGTACACATGTGCCGCACAATCAATGGGGATTCCATTTTTTTTGGGTGGGTGGGGTGGGGAGGTGGGGGTGTTGTGTTATAAGATGTAGGTCACTAAGGAGCTGACATTTCGATATGCTTTGTCTGATATTGTTGACATTGACAGATCTGTCTATTTCTTTTTTTTCCTTTTTCGTTTTCTTTTTGGAATTAGGCCATCAATTCTATGAGAAATCTATGTGATGAATTGATATTTTTTTTTCATCTCCTAAATGCAGGCACTAGAGGCTATAGAGAAGTTGCAAAAGAGTGTCGATACCCTTATAGTGATTCCCAATGACCGGTTGTTGGATCTAGTTGATGAGCAAACCCCACTTCAAGATGCATTTCTTCTTGCTGATGATGTTTTACGCCAAGGGGTGCAAGGGATATCCGACATCATAACTGTGTGTTGATATACTTGGAATTGGAATATTGTCTGCCAGTAGTTTGATGACTTTACATTGTCCTCAATAGCGTTATAATAATTTCCATTTGTGCAGATCCCTGGACTTGTGAATGTTGATTTTGCCGATGTGAAAGCTGTAATGAAGAACTCCGGAACTGCAATGCTCGGTGTTGGTCTATATATATATATATATATATATATATATATAGAAAAATGGGTATACTTGGTACCAAGCATAAATTTTATGCTTGGTAGTGATGTGTCACATCCTCATCCACTCACTACCCATGTGAATGTGGTCCCATATTTTAATGAGTGGAGGGGGATGTGACACATCACTACCAAGCATAACTTTTTGTGCTTGGTACCAAGCATACCCATATTGCTCATATATATATATATATATATATATAAAACTATCTTAAATTCTGGGACTGCATTTGACCTGCAAGTTGAACTCTGTAAATACAATCAATGGAAAGTGACTAAACTGCAATCATTTGGATACGTAGTATATATATATATATATATATATATATATATATATATATAGAAATATGGAGAACCTTGGTACCAAGTTGCTTAAAACAACTTGATAGTGATGTGGCCTAATCTTGACTCTACATCACACCTCGAAGATAGAGCCTCAACCACCTTTCACCAACTCCAATGCAGATGTAGGGTCAAGATTAGACCACATCACTACCAAGTTGCTTGAAGCAACTTGGTACCAAGTTTCTCCATTTTTCTCATATATATATATACACACACACACACACACACACACACACACACACACACACATGACTCTTAGACTTCCTAACAAAGATTCTTAAACTTCTCAGTAATATTTACGTATTTGACTCCAAAAATATTAGATGATCTTTCCAATTCTCAAGGTAATTAATGAAGTTTACTTGTAACAGTCTCCCTTAAACTTGATCCTATAATCATGTAGAACTTACCACATAATAAAGTAAGCACATCATGCTTCAATGGCTTAATAAATATGTCAGTCGTCTGATCCTGTGATTTCACAAACTTGAGCTCAACTTCCTTGTTCTTTACTTGATCGTGAGTAGAATGATATCAAGTATCGATATGTTTGCTCCTTTCATGAAACAATAGATTTTTTGAAAGCAACATGACCTGACACCCCAATGCATACAAACAATTATATCAGCTTCAATATGAAGAGTTAACTCATTAGCTGCGTCTTGCAAGACCGAAAGTAAAAACGGTATATGCCAATAAATAAAGTCGTAACGTATACATGTATCTTTCGCGTCATTAACATCTCCCAAGCTCCAGTCGGCTATCGGCTGTGTGCAACAAGTTCAAAATTTTAAAACGTTGAATTAACAAACTATTGCTACATTTGTGTACTGAGCGAATCTTCTTTGCTGCCACAGTTAGAAATAACTCGCATTTCATGGCATCATGTTCATGAGCCTACACCAAGAGAATATCCGGCCTTGCGCAAGTTTTTTTGGTCAATGAACGAAGACTTTATTCCTTCACAAAGTGGGAATATGAGATGCGGCCCAATCCAATGTAACAGAAGCCTAGAGACTGTCGTTATATGAATCACGTCCAACATCATTTACAAATCCTGCTACTAGTAATCTGTCTCATATGATTGTGGTATATTTCTATGTTAAAATACTTCGTGCTATATACACAACTTTCACCGCATGAGAAGTAGCTGATCAGGCCCTCTGGCTGTTATGTGAAAAAGCCTTACGATTATTCTCTCGTTTGCCAAAGCCAGAATAGACAAGATGACTGACAGTCTGCAATCTTTTCAATTTTGAAGCCTTTACTCCCCATCATAATTCCTATATGTACCCAGCATCAAATCTAGGTCTCCAACTACGAATGATTGCCAGTGAACTTCCAGCCCTTCCATTACTTTCCTCCAAATATATATGCAGAATATTGACAATCCTAAAGAAGATATGCTGACAGACGTTTCTATCATTGCCTCTCCGAGACAATATGCCACTGGTTGAGCTTAACACACTCCATTTTGGCATAGCCTCTCTTTCGTGAGTAATCTGAGAGGAAGTTTAGCAAGAAATAAGCATGAATGTCTTGGGAGTACATGCACCCCCCCAAACAGTCCTCGGATCTTCATACAAAGCAGGCTGCTGCTGAAAAAGCCCCTGTAGATTGACCTGAAATGCTGAATTTTATTAACACAGCAGCTATTAATTGCATTGCAGGAATTATCATACACTTCCCATCCTTATCATTATCATGTTTCTAGTTTTTAGAAGCTGTTGTCCACATCAACTGAAGTCAATTTTTAGACTGTATCTGCCAGATACTAGTCTGTCTCAGAGATGTGCCGGTGCACCCACTGTAATCCACCAGATATCCTTTAGTTAAAGGATTATCATCACAAAGAAGCTTAGCTGCTGTTTGCATAATTCCAGAACTTAGCTCAAATAACCAGCCACTCATGCACTTATGTCCTGACAACAGAGCACTCAAGATACTAAGTGGATTTTGTGACCCCCAAAGGAAACTAGAACACATGCTTGTCAATTCTTTCCAAGCAACCCTTAAGTCTCTCTCTTAACTTGGAAACTTGGAAAGCATCCTTTATGCTTGCACTTATAACTATTAAATTACTCAACCGCTTATCATTAGTATCTTTTAACTTTATTTTCTCAAAGCCTATCATGCTACAGGGAAATGAGACAGTCCACACACTATATGACCTTCAGTTTCTTTACTATAGTTTCTTCGTTGCTTAGCTTAATCAAGCTTGTTCGTGCACCTATTCGTGTTCTTAATTATTTACCTCTGCTTATTCAGTTGAGGAATCGGTCTATATATGTTCCTTATAATTAACTATACTTTATAATCTCATTACTTTCATATGAGGATACAAGTTGTAGCTACAAGTTTCCTATAGTATCCCCAATAGTCACTAGACATGCTATACTTGTAAAGCTACGAAATATTCAGCAAACAATCATACTTAATCAACCAGCTGCTATAGATTTTCTGATAGTAAAACAGTGACT